GACCGTGTGCCACAGTACCATTTTTCGCCAAGCCAGGAATCACAAACTCTGGGTGGATAAGACAGCTGCAGCAATATAAGCCAAATCAGTTGAGAAGGGGGTTGCAGGCAAGAAGACTGTAGTAGTGAAGAAAGGGGAAAAGCCTGTTGGTGTTAAGAAGCAAAAAAAAAAGGCTGCCTCTACCAAGAAACTAGCAGCTGAAAAGAAGCCAGCGGAAATCACAATGGCAGAAAAAAAGAAGCCTGCTGCATAAACTCTTAAATTTGTTTATTCCATAAAGGTCAAATCCTTTTCAACAACTTATTCTGAATAAAGACATGATCAAAGAGACAAAAAAAAAAAAAGTAAAAGAAAAAGCAGCCTTTCCTGTCATTACTGCAAGTCTTTTGTCCTAGTGGCAACTGTTTGCAATTCATTGAATTATTTCTCATGGCTTTACTATATTTCTAAATATGTGCTTTTGTGGCATTTTTTTCGTTTATCCATTTTGGACAGTGCCCACTGACTTCCAGCGATGGTAGATGAGGATTTACCTCTCTTTCACCGTACTCCTTCTACTCATCTCCCATTATATATGTCACAACTTTTGGCTAATCTACATTCAGTGTTCAATTTACTATAATTATGTAATTTTGTTCACTGTTGAGCTAAATTGTGTTCTGATTAGTTTTCCTTTATGAGCACTGTTGCTTTTACTAAAATTAATAACTGCTTTTTAAAATTTCCTTGGCTCTCTATGTACATATTGCTAATTCTTCCAAAATACCCTAAAAGCTACATGGTTAAACCTTTTTAATATTATTTTCCAGAATGACAGACATCAAAAAATCTATCCGTTTCATTTTGTTCTGGTGCCTCTCTCATGCAAACCTTTATTTCTTTTCTTAATTTTTAAATTTAAATGTTTGTGTTTTTTTTTAAGAGACAGAGTCTCACCCTGTTATCCTGGCTGAGGTGCAGTGGCATGATGATAGCTCACTGCAGCCTCAAACTCCTGGGCTCAGGGGATCCTTCTGCCTGAGCCTCCCCAGTAGCTGGGACTACAGGCATGCACCTCCATGCTGGATAGTAAATGTGCATTTTTTATCCCTCTACTTTAGACCATGCCTTAGGTATCATTCCAAAACTTCTCTTTATCACACTTCTGATGAGTCCTGTGTTTTTTGGATCAAATATCTTCTTTCTTGATATACTTTCTTATTTAGATAGAAGAACACTCTCCAGTATCTTTTTTTCTCCTTCTCATCTTTTTTTAAAATTTATTTTTATCAAAATTATGCATGTACTCAGTTTGAAAAAAATAGTTTTATAGGTATTTTAGGAAAAATCACAGACTCCTTCCTTGGAATCTCTAGAAAACTGGGTTCAAAGCAAAAGCTTCTGTTATATATATATATATATATATATATATATATATATATACACACTTTGTGGTGCAAAGTATGTATATATATACTTTGTGGTGCAATCCAGGAACACAGTAGTGAGGGAAAAATAAAGTCAGAAAGGAAAAGAGGGGGGAACAAATAACAGAGTATGCAGTAGGTAGCTGGTGTCAGCTTTGTGGTAAGTGTAGCAGATTGCTTGGTCTTGTGGGATGTGTTTATGGAGATCATTTTAAAAAGAGAAAATATATGTAACAGTTTATGTGTCCCCTTGGTCAAAGTTTACTCCACTGAATATCAGTTCCCCAGCATTTCCAGATTCTGCTGTCTAGCCTGTCTAGGCAGCTAGTGGGGAATCCTAAGCACAGGAATGCAGTGTGACATCTGAGGTTTAAGCCACAGTGCACGCAGACAGTGAGTGAGTCTATGCAAATGGCAATGTCTCTCTGTCCATGGATAAACTGTCCACGTGAGCCCTGCCAGACAGTAAGCTTCTAAGGATACATGGGCACTGAATGGACCCAGTAGCTTCTTCTTGCACTTTGTTGGCAACAGAGATGAGCAGAGGAGAAGGAATGAGAGGCTCTTTCCCTAAGATATGAGTCAGAGAATTTTGGGTTGCTGCTGTGAGTAATATAAGAAACCAGCCCTTGTTGGTATCACTGGCTCGGGAAGCTGCTATGTTAAACAATTTCTTCTGATTATTTTTGACAAACACTCTGGGGATAGGGCTTTTTTCACTGAGCAAGCTCTGAATCAGGACAAATAATGACAAGCTTTGCAAATAAACTTTTTCCTGGAATTTCCAGACATCTCGAATAGTGACAATTCTCTGGGGATGAATTTTTTAATAGTCATTATTTTTTAGAGCGAACCGTTTTAGGTTCACAGAAAACTTTAGTGGAAGGTATAGAGATTTTCCATATACCCCCTGTTCCACGCACATGTATAGCCTCCCTCATTATCAACAGCTCCCACCAGAGTGGCACATTACTTACAATTGATGGGCCTATATTGACATATCATTATTTGAGTGATGCCAGTAGGGGCAAACAGAGGATGGTCAAAAGACTTAACAGGAATATATAGAGTATGAGATGTCCATATAGGGGGATGTTAAAATTCCAGCATATTCATGGGAATCTGGAAGGCCATGAGCATAGGCAAAATAATGTATTTGTCCAGGAAAAAACCCTGAGAACACCTTTATCTTTCAACTCTGGCTGACCCTGAGGCCTTGTACAATCAGGAAATAAAGACTAAAGTGGGGTTGCCAACTGCCAGAGCCCCAGTATACACAAAGAGACCCTATGGGGCAAAGGGTTGAAGATTTATTAGTTCAAGACATTTCAGGACATCTATGTCCAATTATTATCTGACTACAAAGCTAACCAAGGAAAAATATCAGTGGCTAAACACAACAGGGCATGCAGACTCTACAGAATTAGTACAGAAAAATCACTACTGAGCAAAACAGCTAGTAAGAAACAACAACAAAAAACTCTGGGGTGAGGTAATTCTGATTTCCAGAATTACCACAATATCCTTTAAAATGTCCACCTTTCAATTAAAATTATGGGATAGGGGGTAAAAAAAACTAAGGAAGTATGGCCTATACAGAGAGGGAGGGATAAAGCAGTTCATAGAAATTGTCCTTAAGGAAGCCCAAATATTGGGCTAATAGACAAAGACTTTAAATCAACTTTTATAAATATGTTCAGAGAACTAAAGGAAACTGTCTCCAAAGCATTAAACGAAAGTCTGAAAATGATGTTTCACCAAACAGAAAATATCAATGAAGAGATAGAAAGTATTAAATAATTCGAACGGAAATTTTGTAGTTGATAAGGACAATACCTAGAATGAAAAATTTATTAGAGAGGGGCCAGGTACAGTGGCTCATGCCAGTAATCCAAGAAGATTTGAGTTTGCAAAAGAGAGAATCAATGAACTTGAAGATAAATCAATATGGATTATGCATTCTGAGGAACAGTAAGGAAAAAGAAAGGAAGAAAAATGAATAGAGCCTAAGAGATCTGTGAGACACCAAGCATCTAACATCTGCATAATGTAAGTCCCAGAAGGAGAGGTGGGAGATAAAGATACACAGAAAATATTTGGAGAAGTACTGACCAAAAACATTCCTAATTTGATGAAAAACATAAATCCATACATCCAAGTGCTCAACAAACTCCAAGTGGGATAAATTCAAATCATTACACACATATATCTTAGACACATTGTCAAAAGCCAAAGATAAAAAGAGAATCTTGAAACCAACAAAAGAAAAATGACTCATCACTTCAAGGAACTATCATTGAAGAACTCTATATTCAGCAAAACTATCCTTCAAAATGAAGGGGAAATTAAGACCACCTCAGAATAAACAAAAACTGAAAGAATTTGTGACTAGAAGACATGTACTACGAGAAATAATAAAGGGAATACTTCAGGCTGAAATGAAAGGACACTAGACAGTAACTTGAGTCTACACAAAGAAATATAGAACATTTATAAAGGTAACTATATAAGTAAATGTGAAAGACAGTATGCATTTATTTTTGTTTGTACCTCTTATCTGACTTAAAAAACAACTGTATAAAGCAACAATTATAAAACTTTTGATGGGCTTATAATAAACAAAGATATAGTTTATATGATAATAATATCACTAAGGAGGGGAAAGAAAAGAGCCAGTTTGAAGCAAAGTTTTGGTATTAATCCAAACTATATTGTTTAAGCTAGGCATGGTGGCTTGCAGTAATCCCAGCTACTTGGTAGGCTGAGGTGGGAGGGTCGCTTGAGCTCCAGGAGTCAAGGTCAGCCAAAGCAACATAGCAAGACCCCACCTCATATAAAAAGAAGAAGAAAAAAACATCCAAAGAAACTAGACTCTTTAAGATTTTAATTGTAATTGTGAAGGCAACCACTAAGAAAATAACTAAAAAACTAGCAAAAGAAACAAACAAGTGAAGTAAAATGGTGTACTAGAAAATATCTATTGACACACAAAAAAGGCAATAATGGAGGAACAGAGGAACAGATAAAGACATAAAAAAATATTCAAATGGCAGTCATAGATTCTACTTTCTCAGTAAATGCATTAAATATAAATGGATTAAACACTCTAATCAAAAGGCAGAGATTGACAGATGGATTAAAAAACATAACCCAACTATGTGCTATGTATGAGAGATATACTTTACGAAGACAGAAATATATTGAAAGTAAAAGGATGGAAAAAATATACACTTTGGAAATGGTTACCAAAACAGAGATGGCGTACTTATACCAATATAATTTAAACACTATTCTCAGCTGGACTGGAAAGGACATAATTTTTCTTTACAGCTTAACTTCTATTTGTCTTGAACTTAATAATTATCTTTTCTTATTTGCTTAGTTTTACATGTATTTATCTGATTCCATGCAAACTCCTCACAATTGTCTACATCTTCTTTCAAAATGTTCAAATACATCAGAATTTCCATCAATTTTATCTTCTTAATAGAGTTTCTCACAGCACCTTCTGCCATGCTCCAAGATGTATGGGTTACTTTCTATGCCTGCATCTTTCATTCTAGGATCTCTCTTCATTAACATCATAATTATTACCTTCGCCTCTTTCTTAGGTTAAACATACTGCTTCTGTTTTGCCATATCTTCTATTTCTTGTTTGCTCCCTCATTTTGGTAGAACTCAGCCTCCAGGAGCTTTCTAAGAGAAGGGAACAAGGAAAATACATTTTTCATGCCTGAACTGTATTTATTCTACCCTGAAACTTGATTAAGATTCGGCTTGGTATACAATGTTACGTTAGAAGTCATTCCTTCAGAATTTTAAAGGTGTGCTTCCAATGACCTTAAAATTTGTCTATTCCAGTGAGAAGTATGCAACACTTTTGATTTTTAATTCTTTTTATGTGACCTATTTTTTCTCTCTAGAACACCATTCCCAGTGTACTAAAATTTACAATACTATGTCTGGGTATGAGTTTATTTCATCTGTTTTCTGTGGGTTCTTTTTTCTTACTTCCTTGTGAATATTTAAAGATTTAGATTACATATAAATTTTGATGAGCGGAGCAGGCACACAGGAATAAAATACAATTAGTAAAAGCCAATAGCTCCTAATCTCTGATTTAGAGACACCATAATATAGGTGAGGCCTGGCTAACTCAAGCAAGAGGAGTAAGAGGTTTTTAAAGCAAGTGAATGGATTGGTTGTTTTAACATCTATTCATTCCCAAGTGGGGTCACTAGGGCAGAAAAACAGACTGGCATAATGAAGATTTTGTGTATAAGGTTGGTAGTTGTGGGTCATTTTGAGGAAAGGTTTCTTCCTATTAAAATATAATATATATTGTAGCCTTAATGAGATGTCCTAATGTAAGACAGTCTTCTTTTTCTTTTTAGCTCTGTCCATCCCTTTTGATGAGAGATAGTGTTTAGTCTCAGAATGCCTTTTATTTTTATGATGCCTACAAACTTCTGCCATTTTCACCTCAAATATATATAAACATGTATTTTTGTAAGGTATAAGGTTTTGTAAAATTTCATTAACTCTAAATAGAATTGGAATCAAATTTAAGAAAATGTGCTCTATTATCAAAATTCTATTGCCCACTTCTTTTCTTTTTTCTTCTGAAGCTAAAATCAAAGCATCCATCCTAAGGCATGCTATCATGGGTGCATAAAAACTAGTTTTTTAGATGATATACTGTAAAAGTAGAAAAGGAGATTATACGGGATGGGAAGAGGATAGGCTTAACTAGAGAATGTGGCAAATATTTTGATTGGATATTATTTTATTCATAGTATCTTATCTCTATTTAAATCCTATGACATAAAGATAAATAAATTCTATGTGGTCTGTAAAATATTAAACGTCAGCTTTTCCAAAGTACATTTTTCTCTTTTTCTAGTCTGTGAAGATTGACAAAGGAAATTTAACAAAGAAGTTTTATTCTTTCTTTCTTTTCTCATCTAGGGAGATGAACCTGGTAAACACACTGATACTTAACTATTCTATTCCCAAGTTACTTTAATTATTAGGATAAAAAATTTTCATTCCTAGAGGCAGTCATACTTCAACAGTTTCTTGGACTTTACCAGAGGGAAAACACTTCTAAAGATATGGTTCATTAGGTCTGTGCTCTCCACCACTGAATTTAGACACTTATCTAGAAACTAGATAAATGACACAAAGCAAAACATAAAACTTAGAGAAATTTAACATGTCTGTGATTAACTTTTATTATCTTGATGTTATTAGTAAAAACAATGACTAATAAATGCTGAGTCTCATAAACTTGAGTCTCATAAACTCAAATAAATTTGAGTCTCATAAACTCAAATTTTAGAATTATATACTATTTAAGAATAATTTTAATTGCAAGATTTAAGATGATCATGTTTTTAGATCCTCTGAAGATACTCTTGAACTCTCTCTTGTTCCATCACTTAAAAACTGTTAATTTGGTAATTGCATAATGAGGTTACTTAGTCAAAATAGGAAGGATAAGAAAAAGATTAAAAAAAATAAAGTGTTAAGTGCCACAGAAATTTGAAGAGAAGGAGGCAGAAACTATCAAAGATTTGGGAACTGCATTTTAACACTGACCAAGTAAAGGAACAGATATGAGACTGGAAGTCCAACTGGAAAATATTTATTTACCTGAATCACTACTGGGAACAATGTATCATTTTGAATTGGGGCATTGCTCATCTCTTAATGTTCCTCCATAGCTTTACCATTTATTATATTTTCACATCTAAAAAATATTTTTTTAAAAAGTCAAGTTGCCTTGATCTTTTGGATTTAGCATGTAAATCCTGAATTCCCACCAAAGGGTAAACATTATTCTGAGTACGATAGTGCCACAGATTGAAGATTTTAATTCTATCTGAAACTGTAGAGCTCTGGCACTTTTCTTCCCACTCCCCCAATGACAGTATGCTGTAGTTAGCAATAACTGGCTGAGTGATGAATCAGACAGAACCTAAATTAACTCTGTGAGCCTTTTTAATGTTGACTTCTGACTCACAAAAGTACACTATCATATGAGGGGATTATACCACCAGGCCTCAAATAACCACATGAATAACTCCTATTATGGAGATTGTATTAAAGTGTGTAAGTGGTTTGAATGGACACATGCTCTTGAAGCCCCGACCTTGTGAGCCTACGTTAGTTAAAAAATAAGTCTCCAAGGTGCTGCCAGGAGTGATCCTTCAAACTATTTCAAAGCACACAATTCTTCCAGTTATTTATTCACCACGGAATTTGTTCTCATTGTAACAAAAGCCAAAGTCATCCATGAAATGCCTTCCCTTCACAAGTATATAGCAAAGATAACAGAATAAGAGAGTGGTCAAACTTATCCTGTTCTCGTATTGTCATTTTCAAAACTTTTTATTATGAAAGTCTTTAAATCTACAGAAAAATTTTTAAAAATTATATTTGTTTTAAAAAGGTTTTATAACTGCACTTTTATATCCTTTTAATTTATAATTATTTATGACATTTCAGATATTTGAATACTTGAGTCTTTGTTTTTGTTTAAGCTTTGATTATTGATTTTATATTTTATTTCTTCATAGTGAAAGAATGAGGTTTGTATAATTTTTTTAAATTATCAGGGTTTTCTTTGTGGTCTAATTTATGCTCAATTTTTCCATGGAGTCTTTTTTAAATTTTTTATTATGGATACATAATAATTGTATAATTTATACAGGCATACAATGTGATTTAATCAAATCAGGGTAATTGGGGTATCCATCACCTCAGGCATTTAACATTTCTTTGTGTTAGGAACATTCCAATTCCACTCTTTCAGTTATTTTAAAGTATACCCTAACTTATTGTTGATTATACTCACTTTGTTGTGCTATCAAATATTGTTGAGGATTCTCGAAAGATACTTTATCCTCTGTTCATGAAATATATATATATACATATATATATTTAACTAAGTGTGTTTGGGTGTGTATCTGTATATGTGTGTATTTCTCTGTATATACAGAGAAAAATATCTCCAACTCAACCTTAAAAACTATGCTGTTCAGATACCATGTAAACTTATTAAATACACTTTGTCAATTCAAAATATTATCTATAACTTCTATAATGTTGCTTTAAACATTTTGATGGTATGTTGTATGCACAATCACTTATGTCTGCTATAGAGCTGTCCTTATAAAAAACAAAATAATCATTATCTTTGTCCTGTTTAATGCTCTTTCCTTGCCTTGGGTTCTACTCTGACCAGCATTAATAATGTAACATCTGCTTTCTTTCCCTTTTTAGTTTTGCCTGAAATATTTTAAGTCTTTTACTTTAAAATATTCTTATTTCATTTGACATTGTGATTGTGTAAAGAGCATTTATGTGACTTAGTATTTTGACTAAATCTGAGAATATTTATTTTTAATTGAAAAAAATTGTTATTTCAAAATATTAAGAAGTACAAATGTTTTTGTTACATAGATACCTTGTGTAATGCTTAAGTTGGGGGCTTTATTGGGGCTCTTCACCAGAAGAGTGTTCATTGTACATGATAGATAAGATTTTACCCCTCACTTCCTCCCACCTTTCCCCTTTCTTGGTTTCCAATGTCCTTTATATCTCTTTGTGCCTGTGTGTACCCATCATTTAGCTCCCGATTTTAGAGTACATGTGATGTTTGTTTTTCCATTCCTGAGATAACATCAGTTTGGATAATGGTCTCCAGTTCCATCCAAGTTGCTGCAAAAGACATTTCATCCCTTTTTATGGCTGAGTAGTACTCCATGGTATATATACACCACATTTTCTTTATCCTCTGAAGAATTGATGAGCACTTAGGTTGATTCCACATCTTTGTGATTGTGAATTTTATTGTAATAAACAATCAAGCAAAGGTGATTTTTTTGATAAAATGACTTCCTTTCTTTTGGGTAGATAACTAGTAGTGGGATTACTGAATTGAATAGTATGTCTACATTTATTTCTTTGAGGAAATTCCATACTGTTTTCCATAGAGGCTGTACTAATTTGCAGTCCCACCAGCAGTGTATAAGCATTCCAATATCTCTGGTTTCATAGCAGCATCTATTGGTTTTTTTTACTTTTTAATAATGGCCATTTTGACAGGAGAAAGGTGATATATCTCATTGTGGTTTCAATTTGCATTTTCCTGATGATTAATGATGTTGAGCATTTTTTCACATGTTTGTTGGCCATTTTCTATCTTCTTTTGAAAAACTTCTGTTTATGTCTTTTGTACAATTTTTGATGGAGCTGTTTGTTTTTTTTCTTGTTTGAGTTCTTTGTAGATTCTGGATATTTGCCCTTTGTTGGATGTGTAGTGTGTGAATATTTTCTCCCATTCTGTAGGTTGTCTATTGACTCTGCTGATTATATCCTTTCCTGTGCAAAAGCTTTTTAATTTAATTAAATCCCATTTGTTTATTTTTGTTATTGCTGTACTTGCCTTTGGGGCCTCAGTCAGAAATTCTTTGCATAGGCTGCTGTCTAGAAGAGTTTTTCCTATGTTTTCCTCTATGATATAATTTTTGAAGGTTTTATGCCTTACATTTAATTCTTTTTTCCATCTTGAATTAATATTTGTATACGGCAAGATATAAAGGTCTTATTTCATTCTTCTGCATGTGGCTATCCATTTGTTCCAGCACCATTTATTGAATAGGGCTTCCTTTCCCCAGTATATATTTTCA